TTTAATGTACTGTATTGTATGTGTTTATAAATGTTTATTTTCTTTAGTAAAAGTGCTTGAATTACTTTTTTGGAGCAGAAAAAATTCCTTAGGAACGCATCTCCAGTTTTATAATGGAAGTCAATGAGAAAATAGGTTTCGCGGTACGGAATTTCGCGATACGGTCAATTTTCCAGGAACGGAACCCTGCCTGTAACAGAACATATGGGATTAATTGAAATAGAGACTGAGCTGACTCCCAAACTCCACTTTTTCCGTAACAATACGTACGTTGTAGTAAAAATAACATCTTAATTATATGATGGTATGCACAGACAATTAATAATTAAGAGAAATATCAATAATATTAGGTTTTTTAACACTTACTTTAATAGAAAAGCTGGGTCGGCACACGTGGATGGCGGCTGGTTCCGAGGCAGAAGGCAGATTAGTTGCCCTCAGATGAATCACTTTCACTACTCGCAGAGGTTTGCAGGGCCTCCCAGACAAACCCCTCAAAGTCCATATCCTCACTGTCGATATCACTATCACTGACTTGGGCAAGCTGTGGTTGTGGTGGGTTGCGGGCGAGGAAGTCCTCAATACTACGTTGACGACTAGCACTGATGTTGTTGAGATAGATCTGGATATACGGCTCCATAACTTTCGTCAGATGGTTATTAGACGCTTCATACCGATGCTTGTCTGGGTCGTTGTCAAGAATGAGCTTAATTTTCTCCCCCAACTCGATGATTTCCTTCACATTATCATGGCTTGGTCCAGGTAATTCAATGTTTTTCTCTGGTGGTGGGGGTCCCACGGAAGCCGTTGTGAGGGGAATAGCGGACACAAGAGAGAACTGTATACGCCGACTGAGAACAATGAGACAGGCCCTGCTAGGTCAGCGACTTCTACCCTCTGGTGACAGGGCACGTCATGTTACATTAGACCAATCACAGCTAGCGGCGGAGGGAGGTAAGGATGCATGGCCCAATCACAGTCCGATACGTCATATGACGTCAGCGATAACGTAAGAGCAGCCTAATGCGCACCACTCACTGTGCCGCTTCCCGCGTATGGTCAAGAATGGACCACGTGGGTAAAAAATGGCGCGGCGGTCTGGACCTCTCCAGCCACTCGCAGCGTAAATGACCAAATTTACCGCATAATTAAAGCATTTTCATTCTGGCAAGGCACCGCGTAAATGACCAAAAGTGTAAACAAAAACCACGTAAATGAGTGCATTCAGCTGACTGCATTAAAGGTAAGTGCATAGTAATACTTTATTCATTTTTCATTATTGATTACTTTTACTGTACCGTTTTTCATTTTAGAATTTCTATGTATTATTTTCACATTTTCGACTTACGACCTGGTCGTCGGTCCAGAACCCTGTCGTAAGTCGAGGAGAGACTGTATAGGAAAGTTTCTATAATTTTGGTAGCCGCGATATAAAAAAAATCTTTTTATAAAGTCGTGATATATTCTGACCCTACTGTACATTAGGGGGCAGTGAAATTTTGCTCAAAGCTGCACTCTTCAGGCATTGTTCCTTATACATATCTAAGACTCCATGCCAAATTTGAAGCTGATATGTCGAGGTTTAGTCTGCCGCATTTTCTACTGAAATTTTTAAATTTATCTACAGTACTAGCCAAACAGCCTCTGTGGCGGTGCAATGTTCTGTTCAGTGTTTATCAACTTTTTTTCATATCTCTTATTTCATTTAAGTTGTCTTGTTGCAGATGAGTATGGTGCTATGTCTATATTGATTATCAGGGCTCTGACAGACACTAGTTCACAGAACCGGACAAGACTCCCTACACTGGCTGCCGCTTGTGACCTATACTTGATTAGTGATTATGCTGGAGCTGCCATTGCTACTGCCACCTTAACTGACTATGGCATTATCACAAAGGACGACAAGAGTCAGGTTATTGGACCACATAAGCTGCGGGATGCGAGACAAAAATACCGATTTAAGAGGCAAGAAATTGAGATGGCTAGTTTAGATAATTTGACGTCACTCTATTTTGATGGTAAGAAGACCGCCACTCGTGTGATGATAAAGAATGAGAAGACCGAGAAATGGAGTTCGAGGATGATGGTGAAAGATCATTATGTCATCATGGTTGAGCCTGGCAATGAATATCTCACACATGTGACTCCCAAGACTGGACACGGAAAGCAGATTCTGGTGGAGAAATCTCTAACCCAGCAGCCCATTGTGTGTGTTGGTTGTGATGGAACCAATGTAAATGTAGGATCAGAAAATGGAGTCATTCATCATCTTGAAATGTTACTTGGTCACCCGCTCCATTATTTCATATGTCAGCTTCACGGAAATGAGCTGCCTTTCTGCACAGTTTTTTATCACTATGACGGTAAACCAAGTGGTCCTGAGCATTGGCGTGGTCCCATTGGAAAGCAGATCAAGGAGTCTTTGTCTGAGCTTCCAGTTGTCGCCTTCCAGCCAGTCAGTTTCCCTGATTTCCCTGTGTTTAATGATGAAGTGGAGAAAGATCTGTCCTGGGATCAGAAATACCTGTATAGGATTTGTAAAGGAGTTATCACAGGTGTTGTTGAAGATGACTTGGCTGCTATTGAGCCAGGTCCTCCCTGTGTGTCAAGGTGGAACACCTTATGGAGTAGAATCCTCAGGCTGTATGTAGCAACATCAAGACCCAGCCATGAGTTGAAAAGAATTGTCATTACAATAATAAAGTTCAGTGCTCCAATGTGGTTTTACATCAAGATACACCCTTACGTAACACACGGCTCAAGGAACGTATTCCAGTCCCTGCTATATATGAAACACCTGAATAGTGAGGAGGAGACGATAGTGAAGAAGGCTGTCCAGAGAAATGCATACTTCGCCCACACAGATCAACTTCTTCTTGGTATGTGTGCAGATGAGGACATGACTGTTAGAGAAAAAGCTGTCTCAATGATAAGAAAAATTAGAGAGGAGAATCAGCAAAAGGAAGAATGCACTGGCAGATCTGAAGAGGAGGAGGAAGATTCTGATGCTGCTGTTGACGAGAATTTGTTAAACTATACTGATGAGGAGGGTAAAGATGGAGATGGGAATGAGGATGTGCCTCCTGTAGTCAACATGAGAAAGGTGGTGACTCCGAAACTAAAGTGGCAAGCAAAAAACTATCATTCCATGATTAACTGGAGGAATGAACTCAAGACTGAGCCTCCTTACATTGCTTCTCTGTCAAATCTACAGGTTAATGACATTCTTGAGACACCATTAGTGGTGCCCAAGTGGCCAAACAGCACTCAGGCGGTCGAGAGAGGCATAAAAGTGATGACTGAAGCTTGCACTGAAGTGACGGGATACGAATCGAGAGATGGATATATTAGGCAAAGATTATTGTCTAGGAAAATGATGCCAAGGTTCCGCACAAAAAAGAATTTCAATATGAACTTGTAATGATTTTCTATACGGTGTACCTGTAAAATAACATGTGAATTAAATCGATGTCACCCATGTAAAATTTATCATTATCCTGGAAAACATTAAATGACACCTAATTTTTGGTATACACTAAAAGTTGACAAAAAGTCGTTCGCGATGCGGCAGGGTAAGTATGCATGAAATGGCATGAAATTTTGCACAGGTGTTTGTTACAGCCATACAAACGATGCCTGCCTGAAAAGTGCAGCCTGCAACTCAAATAAAAGTGTTTTTTCCCTGCCCCCTACTGTACATCATCTCTTGAACCTAGAAAAATATCCCTCATCCTCGGAATTTTCTGGGTAACGGAAAAATGTTCTTGGAAGTCCCAGAAATTGCCCATTACATCAGCTCTTAAACCCGGAAAAATATCCCCAATCCCCAGAAAATTCCAGATACCACAAAATTTTTCTCGGAATTTCCAGAAAATGCTCCTCATTTTCATCTCTCAAACCCAGAAAAAAACCTCCCCCATTCCTGGAATTTTCAGGGTATTGGGAATTAATAATTTTTTCCGGAAAATGTGCCCCTCGGAAAATTTTTTAATTCTGGCTATCAGAGAGTTCAGAGTTAGAGCGATTCCAGCTAACATAGATATTATTACCATATTCTCAGTCTCTTGTTAACAGAGCTGGAACAGCTGATCGGTTCTGCTGACCTGCTCCCTAATAATGTTGTCAGCACTCACTATCTCTCAAGCACCATTGTTGTCACTGCTCAAGAGGGTTGGTGCTTACCAAAGGATCTGTCTTGAGCACTTAGTAAATAATATTGTATTGCATTTATCAGAACTTAATCAATACAGTATTATTGTACAGTAATGTATAATGCATCTCCATATGCCCTGATGTTTTCACTGATGTGAGAATCTTGCGGCAGCTGTGAATGTAGTCGAGTTGCCAATTCATTAATATAATTTTCCTCATTATTTAAGCAAATATACAAACACTTGGAAAGTTCTCATTATCTAAAATATTGCTGAATAGTTTATTATAAAAATGCTACCAATGGTTTGTTTAATATTTATCCCCACAGTGACACAGCTGAAAATAGATCCACCAATCACAATCACCATTACATACAGCCTTACCTTACCAAGTATTGCAGCGTAAATTTGCGAGTACAAGACCCAGGCTGGGGTCACTGTGCATGTATATCAGCTTGTGTGAAATGTTGGGTATGAGTACAACAGTTCTATTATAATGCAGTACAGTACTATCCTTAGAAAAACCAGCGCTAGGAAAGGAGATGGTTGGAATAAGGATTGCAACTATGTTGTACAGTACTGGAAAACAAATAAGGTCAACAAAGACAAGGGAAGGCCTCTCTGTGTGCACACTTCAACAGCAGCCTGTATAGTAACCACCTCCAACATACACATTATAAAACAAGAACTAAAAATTAGGTTTCATAACAGAAAATATACATAAATACTATTACAGTGGTTCCATATGCAGTTATTATGTTGACTTTTTCAGTATCTTCAACTGAATAAGGTAACAAATTGGAAAGTACTTCATAAAATCATATTAAAATAATACTGTACAGTACTTACTTCACAAACAGGACAAGTTGTAGCTAACATTTTGTATCCCTTTAGAAGATATTGTCCCATTACAGATGATATCTTGTTATTGCGTTCCCGTCTGGCCTCATTAACTTTGAGTTCTGCCTCAGAAGGTGGACTCCAAGAAAGTTCATCATCCAGATAAGCCATTGTGGACACTGTATAAAAATATATTTAACAACTGCATTATGTACATAAATATTATTGGTGTTAGCATAACTTCACATGCACTTTACCCTTTCCACACTTTGCTGGTCCGTAAGCCACGCCCCTCATCAATAGCTACAAATAGCAGATTGGTTCCCCTGAGTGATTTACCTTTCTCCGGACTGCGCATGTGTAAGCGCGTAATTATATCAACCTTTTATGATAAATATTTAAAATATTCTTATGTCCTCTCTGAAGTGCTTATGCCTTGAAATCATCTGTATTTCGATAGTTCAGATATTTAACACTATTTTAGATAATAAGAGGTCTGTTTACCAATTGTGAGCACATTTAGTTTGAATTTTCTATGAACCAAACAGCTACAGTAATACCTCCGTTAGCTAGAATCCCCCAAACCAGGAACTCTCCGATAAACCGAAACTGAAATTTTCTCGGAATTTTGGTCCCCAAAGCTGGAATTTTCCAGAAAATTCCAGCCTTGGGAATGATTTTCTGAGGGACACATTTTCCGGAAAATTCTGAGAAAATTTTGGGGAAGGGGGAGTTTTTCCGGCTTTGAGAAATGAAAATCGGGCACATTTTCCGGGAATTCCGAGAAATTTTTTTACGGTACCCGGAAAATTCCGAGGATGGGTTGGAGAGATGATGTAATGTGCATTGGGCAATTTCTGGAACTTCTGAGAACATTTTTCCGTTACCCGGAAAATTCCGGGGATGAGGGATTTTTTTCCGTCTTTGAGAGTCACTTTGTAACGGAAGTACTCTGCACCAAGTTTGCCGGCAAACAGAGATACAGGGGGGTAAACTGTATTAGTATAGCCGTTTCCGCTACTTCATAAATCTTTTAGGTTATTATTTACAATTTCACAGCAGTTTCCATAAAAATGATCAATATGTATATCAGAACTCACTGATGAAAATATATTAAGACTATAAACATGAAAATAAATAACTCGTCGGCTGTAATGACTTGCCCCGCACCACCTAGGGACAGCTCTGGATTGAAACCATTAAATTCTCAAAATTTAATACAGGGTGACTTGCAAATGGTTAATATTTGTTTAATGGCTGCGGCAAGGTTTTCATATCTGTTTATTCTAGGATACGTTTGGTTAGGTTAGGTTTCAACAGTGATTTGGAAGTTGAAATTGTAATGAGAATATTTTTTTGGGGGGTATTATTATTGTTTCGATCATCCAGCAAATTTTAGGATTTTAAGTTACCACCATCTGACAGATATTTACCGGTTCAGTTAGGTTAGGTAAAAGATAATTTCAACTCCTGAATAGGTGAATGACCGAAACGATGTCACTTTTTATTTGTGTATTAAGGTCAGATTTGAGTAAACACACCTAAATACACACACAAAAAAAATAAAAAAAGGAGCCACAGCCATTAAACGAATATTTACCAAGCAAATTTACCCAATTACTTTAAAATATACACCCAAAAGGCTTTTAGATAAAATTTATGGTAAAATTTTACTTGTTGCCACTACAGTATACGAAATCGAAGTTGAAACTATGTTTTTCTGATGGATTTTGATGAGTTATGAATGAATATGACCTTCATTTCTGGCACCAATCAATAGTTTCTGAGATTAGGCCCCCCTCCCATCTCAGAATCTTTAGAGATTTGCTATAAAAATCAAGGTAAGAAGTGTTCAAAACACATTGAAAACCATCGGAAAAACAAAACCCTAACCAACCTAACTTGGGAGCTCCACAGTCATTCGATGTTTTGAGTGTGTACTGCCACGTCGTTCGATTTTCAGGGTGTGTACCGCCACGTACGAACATACATAATAAACGTAATTTGTGCCAGAAATGCCATTAAAGAAGTGTCCTAGAGGTAATTATTAGTGTTTGCCCCTTACCTCCATTTCGATATGAGAAATTTTTTTCTGATGTATTTTGGTGTGTTTCAGCCAGACGTGACCTTCGTTTCTTGTGGAAATGAATCTTTTTTTTTTTTAGATTTTTCTAGAAACTTGAAAAACACCAAAACCGGCTCTTTTCACAAGAAATGAAGGTCAAATTTAACTGAATTACACCAAAATACATCAGAAAAACAATTTCTCATAACAAAGGAATGAAACCTAACCAATCCTAGCCTAATCTAAACAGCATCACAAAAATTGTGACCAAATCTCAGGTTGCTGATCTGACTTTCTGCCTCATTTACACACAATTGCAGGGTCTCAATTGTTTCACTTACTATTGACAACACAACATACATTATATTGTTTCTCACTTTTGATCTTTTTTTCATTTTGTATTTCTTTATGGTTCTTTATTATTATTACATTTTCGCCCCCCAGGCCCCTGATGTGGGTCAGTGACCTGTGCCCGGGTGGGCTAATCCGTAAAAAAAAAAAAAAACACTAACCCAACCTAACCAAAACTAACCTAACCTAAGCCAGGTACCCTTAAATTCGGATACCTCAAAATTACACCTCTTTACTTTTTTGGCTATGGGGTCTTAGGAATTTCTTGTACACACGAATGCACATCTGTTTTTTCTGTAAAAACACTGCTTACCACACTTTGGGCACTGTCTGGCTCTAGGTAACACTCCATGCTTCCGGAATATTTCAAGTGCAGCTTCTTGGTTGTAGTAAGTGTCCCTATTACTTTAAAATGTTTCAGGTTGCAGTGGAAGCAAATATCTGTCATGGCTACTTTTGAAAAAGTGGCGAGTGTGAAGGATATGCGGATTGATACCAAATTTTTAAATGTCTTCATTGCGCATGCCTCAACCTCAGGTCACGGTATTGTGAAAGTGCAGATAACGGCTGGTACCATGACGTCACGGTAAACAGACCGTTGAACCACCATTTAACAGTGAAAGTAGATCTGTCTTTCAGGGCAAATATATTGAAAAAGGAGCACTCGCAAAAATCGCTATTCTTAAAAATCGATTCAATTTTAAAAATAAAACATAACTATAAGAGTGAGAAAAAGAAATGACTTTATGGGGTAAAACTAATATTAACCATCATAGAATTGTCAAAATTACTGATTGCAACTACAAAATTCCCAAGCTTCGTAGGTTGCGACTCTAGTTACATCTCCCAAGGTGCCAGCCTTCCAGAGACAACTAACGGTAGACAATCGTTTGGCATAACAAGATGCTGGGTTCAATTACAGTTGTGGTGGACAACTCGTACTCAAGTAAATCATACCCATGAGAATAGGTCAAGTCGTACTCAATTACAAGATAACTCGTACATGTAATACACATGATCACGAAACCTCATGCTATGTCAACTAACTACTCAGACCTCCAACTTCATTCACACCGCTAGGTGGCAGCACTCATGTACACGTCAATCACGCCAATAGAGGAGAGCACTCGTGCACACACTCATTCACGCCACACAGTGGTTCATTCGCTCGGCTCGTTCGCATAACATAAACATTCACTAATTCCTGTAAAGCTCTTTCTACCATTTGTCGAATATGCGTTGCAATAAATCAAAATCTAATTTTTAATTGACAATCACTAATCAAAAATCAACTATGATTTAAGGTCAACATTGAAAATCCATCAATCTCAGATTTGTATAATTCACACGAGCATCACAATCACCAAACTGGTTTTAATACTAACTGATTTGTTTATAAAAAGCTGGAGCTGAAAAATATATCTGTTTTTATGCATGTCTAGACTCCTCCATGTCTACATTTTGCTGACTTATGACTATTTTAAACATTTACATTGCCCAGTTTATAAATTGAAACTGCCAAATCTATTAGCCTGAAATCTGTAAATTGCATTAAAGTTATTGTAAAACACAGTGTGAAATATGTACTTGTAGCGCAATGTTTGTGTGATGAAATATGATACCTATGTAATGAGATACAACCGTTTTGAGGGACTGCATTACATTTTATTATTTCACTGCACATTCCTAAAAGATTTACATAATCTTTTTTTGTAATCAGAGATGAAGCTAAAATTTTATGGAACTCCTCCAGACTGTGTTAAATTCAATTTAATTATTCTTTCATTCGGGGGGGCTCCCCTTGTCTCAGGGGCCCGGGCACCCTCCCTTAATCTGGCCCTGAATAGTTCATAAGCTATAATAACGCTTTGACAGCAGCTACCTATGCATGGTATATATACCAATAGGTATGGATTATCTCTTGAATTGGGTGCAAGTGATCTTGGGTACGAGTTATCTCGTGAGTTGCGTACAAGTTATCTTAGATACGAGTTGGCGTGGGTACGAGTTAACTTTTTTTAGTACGATTTATCTTGGGTATGAGTTGACTAAGGGGATAGACCCCATTTCGTCACAAACCTAGTTTGTCACCAAAAAACTCAACTCGTCATAAAAAAAAACATTTCGTCACCACTAACGGTCTGGTGATGAAAAAGTTGCTGGTATTAGTGACGAATTGTACGTTATTATTTTACACAAATAGAAATTACACGTTTACAGACACCACACCAGACCAGCATTTGAAGAACTACAAGAAAAAGCACAACAGTCAGAACTCGTCAAGAAACTCACTGATTACATGAGCCATACATGGTTTAACAACAAAGTCTGGTCAGTCGGTAATTGGTGTAATTTCCGACGTCTGGTTAGAACAAGTAACGATGTTGAGGGCTGGCACCAGCACATAAACCACCGAACAGCAAAGAATAATCTCGCTCTATACCTCCTTGTACCTCTTCACAGAAAAGCCTCAATGGTTGATTTGCAATTACATCTAGTTGCTGAGCGCAAGCTAAATTTGTGCGCAAGAAAAGGAAATCATCACAAACAAGTCTGTCTCTGGACGCTGTGGGATTTTTATTTTTTTTATCCTCTTCGCCACTGATCGGCTCGTTAGCCGCTTGGGCGATCGGTCACGTCTCTGATTACTTTTCCTTTTCATTTCGCTCGCTGAATATGAAGAAAAAATATCACTATTTCTAATTTCCTAAAAAAATGTCAGTGTCTTCTTCCAAGCTTGCATGAGTAATAACAATGCTTTTATTTTATTATTTTTTTTACATATTGTTTAAGTGAGATGATTGCAGGCGTATTAACAATGTTTTTATTTTTGTTTTGTTTTAGTTCTTAATAAATTGTTTTAGCGAGATGCTTGCATGAGTGATAACGTATTTTTTTGTGGCAAATTTTATTTTCGTCTTTAATAAATTGTTGTAATGAGATGCTTTCATGATCCAATGTATGTACACAAAGATAGTAAACCAGCCATTAGGTCTGCACTGCTTCAGTGAATATATAATGAAGGTCCAAAGCCCTTGAAATGGTGATGGGAATAAACGTGGTGACGAAACGGGTAAAAAAAAGTGGTGACGAAATGGGTACGAGATGACCATAACCCCAATTACAGTGCCCGAATACATGTAGCAACGTCTAACTAACCAGATTCAATCTCATTTAATGTCCAAATTGTACAAACAAAATTATGGATAGTCTGCTACAATGCCTCTGTCCATGACAGACTTAAATACATACACTTATAACCACTCCTTCCATGGAAACATCTAGACCAGTAAAGAGACAATAGGTCTCTCCCACTGAATTTTTAACTCAACAATCCTTAATATAATGAGTTCCAGGCCCTAGGTACTTGTTATTTTTAAGTACATTTGTTAACCTTGTAATGTACATAATTAAGGTATCATATTACAACCCACACTCGTCCAGTACAGCACAAACCTTCCATGGTCTTCAGTCTGCAGTGTTGTGGTCGTTCTTACCGCTATGTTCATGTCAGCTTCTCCAGTTATTCAAAATTGATTCCTCCTTAAATAATATTAGTAAGATATTCTTTCTAATTTCTACTTAATATTATATATTTAAAAAGTAAATTCTATATATTTTGTACTACTAAGTAATAAATATAGGGTATTAAGGACCGTGTAAGAGTCTCTTTGGAATAGACACCCGAGCGGCATAATTAAACTAAGGTGATGGTACTGTACATAATTTTTATATACATATACAGATACATTTCTGAGTTTGTGTGTGAAATTTTAGTTGAGAAGCTCCATTAATGTATCTAAAGATCCCCAAATTGTATCTTATTAAACCAAAAGAACTTGAATATTTTTTTCTTCTAAATTCATCAAACTGTGTTCCTATTCTACCGTGACTGTTGTGACCACAACCAAGATGATAGTGTCGTATGTATCGCTTGCAAGATCTGTTCATAAGCATTTGCTTGATCAGGCACCAGGTGAGGCTGATTTTCTTCAAGAAAATTCACCAAAACTTCAACTGAGTTGTCTGTCTCTCTGAGCAACTCCACATTGTCTCACTGTTCAGTCCCTAAAACTTCTTCCATTAATAGTTCATTAACGGTGTATGTAAGTTCCACCATGTTTTTCACTACAACGGTACAGCAAAGTATATTTTTTTAGCATTAAACTGTTATTATTTTATTGTCTAATCATCACTACATATAACATCATCCATCATCACTACATATAACATCATCCATCATCACTACATATACTTTTTACTTTTACTTTTATCCTCTTCGCCACTGATCGGCTTGTTAGCCGCTTGGGCGATCGGTCACGTCTCTTTTCATTTATATTCTTCACCAAAAGATCGGCTCGCTAGCCACCCGGGCGATCGGTCACGTCTCTGTCACGCACTGTTGGCAAATACTGGGCGTGCACCGGCTCCTGAATGTACCTGAACCCGCTCCAGTGTTGGTCAAGTCTTCTCTTGAAAGAGCTCACACTCGGTGCCGTCACAACACTCTCTGGTAGATTGTTCCAAGAGTTTACAACCCTCACTCCGAAAAAGTTTGCCCTCACGGTTTTCTGGACTTGCGGCTTCTTCAATCTTGAGCTGTGACCCCTTGTGGGGCGAGCGTCCGCCAGCTCCAAGTAAGGACACTCAACTGAGTAGTGCCCCCTGAGATGCTTATACACCTCAACTAGGTCCCCCCTTGCCCGTCTGTAGTATAAGCTAGGCAAGTTCAGGCGCTCCAATCTCTCAGGGTAGCTGAGGTGCCGAAGTGCAGGCACCAGTCTGGTGGCCCTCCTTTGAACATTTTCAACCAACTGACAGTCCCTAGCATATCTCGGGGACCAGATGGGGTGACAGTACTCCAGATGGGGAAGCACTTCACTCCTGAAGATCGTTACGAGGGACGGACCGTCTAGATATCTGAACGACCTTCTTATAAGACCCAATAATTTATTTGCCTGATTTACCTTCTTCTCGCAATGGCCCGAGAACCTCAGCTCATTGTCAACATACACACCTAGGTCCTTCTCACACACAGTCGCAACTAGTGCAGTTTCTTCATCCCGTTGAGACATATGATATACCTCCTTACCGTTGGTACGCCCCAGGTGCATCCTCTTACACTTCGTGACATTGAATCTCAGCAGCCATTTCTTTGACCATTCCTGGAGCCCACAGAGGTCCTTCTGCAGTTCTTCACAGTCCGCTTGGTTCTTAATTTCCCGAAATAACTTGGCGTCATCGGCAAACATTTGTATGGAGGAGTGTACAACGTCAGGCATGTCATTTATGAAACAAACAAACAACAGGGGGCCCAATACAATGCCCTGTAGTGCCCCACTTGTGACAGGTACAGATGACGATTTTGTGCCATTAATCACCACACACTGCTTGCGGTCATGTAGAAAGTCTTCTATCCACGCTAGGACATTTCCCCGAATTCTGTACCCTTCCAGTTTGATTTTCAGCCTTTCGTGGGGTACACTGTCGAAAACCTTGGCAAAATCTAGGTAAATATTGTCGATATTCCCACCCCGTTCCAGAATATGGGTCCAAATATCCAATACCTTGAGCAATTGTGTTAAGCAGGAGCGCCCTGGCATAAAACCGTGTTGGCAATCTTTTACAAGGTTGTTTCGTATTAGATGTTACATTGCGGCATCTCTGATAATACTCTCAAGTACTTTACATATTATGCTGGTCAGGCTCACCGGTCTATAGTTGTTCGTGGAGTGACGATCGCCCTTCTTGAAGATAGGACTCACATAAGCCACTTTCCATTCACTGGGGACCATTTGTTCAGCCAGGCATTTACAAAACAGGATCTTCAGGGGCTCTGCAAGCTCGTTGCACAACTCTCTTAACACTCTAGGATGCACCATGTCAGGTACGGGCTGGACTATTAGCCTGGGCAGTATATTTCTAATACCCTCTTCTGTGAACACAATGTGGGTCAGTGCTGTGTCGAACCGTCTGTCCTCAAACGCAGGAAGGTTAGTTGCATCCTCTCTTGTGAACACCGAGGAAAAGAAGCTGTTCAATGCCTCAGCTTTATCCTGGTCAGAATCTGCGTACCTACCATCCACCAGCCTCAGGTCTGATACTCCTGCTCGCGTTTTCAGTTTCGACTTTGCATAGCGGTAAAACGCCTTTGGGTTTGACTTGACCTTTCTTGCAACCAGCCTCTGGAACTCCTTTTCAGCCCTCCTACACTCTATCTTTGCTTGGTTTCTGGCTCTTTCACACATCCTCCTGTCTTACTCATTGTTTGACCCAACCCACGTCTTGAATTTCTGGGTTTTCTTCTTAATTTTGTCGACCGCCGCATGGTTCATGTGTAGGGATCCGCTCGTATTCCTAGAAGCACTGGGTTTGGTCTTGGGTATATATTTATCGATCAAATGGGTCATTTTACTAGTTATGATATTCAGCGTAGTGTCTGCGTTCTTATACTTTAATAAGTCAAGCCAGTTGATACCCCTCATCTCTTCCCTCATCCCATTGTAATTTCCCTTGTAATATTTGCACCTTGGCCTGGCCTTATCCTGAACTAGGTAACAGTTAAATCTGAATGACAACACTATATGGTGACTGGTGCCAACTGGGGCAAGGTGTTCCAGTTTGGCTACCATACCCTCCTCGTTTGTTATAATGAGGTCAAGTGGCTTGGGTGTTTGCTTTCCTCTGTAATGTGTCGGGTCTCTAACATGTTGGAACAGAAAATTACCTCTCAGAGTTTCTACAAAAAGAGTAGCAGGGTTATTCAAGTCATTTGGGGTGGACTCGTTTCTCCAGTCGATGTCGCCATAGTTAAAGTCTCCCATGATAAGGAGGTGGCTAGGGTTGAGCATCGCCGCGTTGTTTATTAAGGTTCTTAAGTTCCTTTCATTTAGTGGGCCACAGTTTGGGGATCTGTAGATACACCCGACGATAAGTAAGTCCTCTCCCTTTAATTTAATTTTACACCACTTGGACTCTTCAAAAACATCTCTCCATGTACCCTCGCCTGGCTGGCTCTAAGGTCTTGCCTAGCATAAATAACCACACCCCTCTTGCAAGTTTTTTGAGAAAGGTTCGTAAATGAGTCATATCCAGCAATACTGAACTCACATTCCTCTGGGTCGATTCTCCTGTTCGTGTACAACAGTTCTACAGCACCTAAAATATCTGGTTGGCGTACTCTTAGAAGTGTTTCAAACTCCTCTCTCTTATCAAGGAACGTGTCAGTATTAGTGTACATGACATTCAAGCCAGAATTTGTTCTCGGTAACGTCTCTGCTCTTAGTAATAAACCCGCTCCCCCCACATTCTCAGAAGCTGCAGCATTTGCTAAGTACACTGTATTTTGCAGGGTGTGGTTAGAAATGTCATTGTTTACATTGTTTACACAGCGCTCGTTCCCTCCTGTCCGGTAGGCTGAGCTGGTGCAGCCTCCCGGGTGGGGGGTTGAGTGGGTGGAGGGTGCACTGCTGCCCCCTGGCCCTGTGTCGGCACACTTGTTTCCACTACCCTCCCCCTGAGTATAACCCATGTACATCTGTCCCCGTTCCTCCTCGACTCCTCCCTCCTCTGCTTCAAGTCCTGCAGGAGCTTCTTGTGCTGTCCCTCTGCATTACCGTGCGGTCTGGGTGAATGAATACATCCCGAAATGCCATCCATCATCCATCATCCATCATCACTATATATAACACCATCCATCATCACTACATATAACACCACCCATCATCACTACATATAACACCATCCATCATCACTACATATAACACCACCCATCATCACTACATATAACATCATCCATCATCACTACATATAACACCATCCATCATCACTACATATAACACCATCCATCATCACTACTACATATAACACCACCCATCATCACTACATATAACAACATCCATCATCACTACATATGACATCATCCATCATCACTACATAGAACATCATCCATAATCATCACTACATATAACACCATCCATCATCACTACAGATAGGTAAAGTAGTTTCCGAGATTCTCGTGTGGACACACAAACACACAACACACAGACATACGTCTTTGTTTTATATACAGTATATACTAGCGGAATTGCCGTCCTCTGGGCGGCTCTTTCGCTAGGCCACGGTAGGACGCCACCCTCCGGGAGGCTCCACATTGCCTCGCTGTAGTACATTAAGGTAGACCAGACCTTTGGTTTTGCCATTAGCAGCAAGTATGTACAGATTTTTGCCAGTTCCCACTCTGGAGCATCCAACATAGAACTGTCCTTGAGAGAAGCCAGGAAACACCAGGTTTAGGCCAACCATCTTTAGGGACTGTCCCTGGCTTTTGTAGATGGTCATGGCAAAGCTCACTTTAACCGGGAACTGAAGTCGCTTGAACTCAAATGGCAGGTCAGTTGTGATGAGAAGTATCCTTGGTATAAAATAGTCCTCTCCTTTAGCTTTTCCTGTCAGTATTGTGGCTTCCAGTGCATGTGGCATCATGTTCTTCACCACTAGTCTTGTGCCATTGCAGTGGATTGGTGGTTCAAGATTTCTTAAGAGCATTATAGGAG